CACTTTTCTGTTGTCCGTCCCCCAGGGAGGAGGTCACATGTAGATCCCGGTAATCGGTTCCCACTTTGCACCCACCCTCCCTCCACCCTCCCCAGTATCACCACTCTCAGCACAGGTCCTGAAGGGATCATCCGTCCTGGATTCCATACATAGACTTTCATACACTCACAGGCTCATACACAGACTTACACACTCACCCACGCACACACCCACATCCACACTCTCCCATGCGTACGCACAGCCATGGCCCTCCCACCCTAACTCATCCCCTGTGCAGGCACCTCAGCCCCTCACCTGGTGCTAGATGTGCTCGGAGGCTCGCTTTTGTCCAGGAAATTCGCTACATCAAAGGCGTCTTCAAAAAGGACCTGAAAGAAAGCACAGGGCTTCGTGTCTCAGAAAACCCTCACCGCCACCCACTGGCCCCTGGGCAGCCTGACCTGATGCCCTGCGCCAGTGAGGTTGCAGCTCTGGGACCTGGTGGGGCGGCTTCCCTCCGCACCCATGGGCTCCTCAGGAGGCAGCCTCTGCTGGACGGCAGCTCTCACCCTCACCAGAATCCACAGGGCACCTCCAAGCTGCTAAAGGACCCCGAGCACACCCCTGGGGACTCAAGGTCAAGGGTGATGCAGACAGTCACCCTCCCCGCCCCACCCCCAGGGTCTCGGTACCTCCTCGGGGGTGGAGACCAGCGAGCAGCTGGCCCCCTGGCTGTCCACCCCGCTGTCTTTCATGCTGCCCTCTGTGTAGGTAGGCTCCCCACAGGCCTCTGGGAGGCCCGAGAGGCTGCTGTGCTGTGCCCAGGCCTGCAGCAGACTGGTCTTCCTCTCCTCGGAGAGGGTCTGCCACAGGTGGGAGATGGCCGCAGAGACAATGGGGAGTGTCGCCTCCCAGGAGGAGATGATCCCGTAGCTGGTCAGAAGGTTCATCGTCTGCTTGTAGAAGGTGAGGTACCTGGAATGGAAATGGCCTGGCCCTCAAACCAGAAGCCAAGGTCCAAACGGGAAGTCCAATGCACACAGCCCTGCTGCCCACCCGACAGGCCAGCTCTGGGGTCTCTCACCACACTCAGTACCTTGGGGAGCAGATGCCACGTTACGGGCCACAAATCAAGTCAACCTGTGCTTTAGGGTCCCTCCCCACATCTCCCAGTGCCCTGTGAAACTCTGACAGACCAAGAGATGAGAGGTGGGGCTGGCTGAGTTCACACCCCACTGGGAAATATCTGAAAAATTTAAGCCCAGCAATGTGCAGGCGCAGCATGACTTTAATTCCTGCTTGCGGGGTGATTCAAAGAGGAACCATCGTGGTGCAGCGGTTGTGAACCGGGCTGCTCACCGCGAGGTCAGTAGTTCATAACTAGCAGCTGCTCCATGGGAGACGGAGGAGGCTTTCTACTCCGATCAAGATGGACAGACTCGGAAACCCCTGAGGACAGTTCTCTTCTGTTTGACAGGGTCCCTGTGAGCCGGAATCAACTTGCTGGCGGTTAGTTAGTGAGTGAGAAGTCAGGCCGAAGGAGCCTTGGGGGACCGACCACATTGAGCCCTTGGCTGCTAACCAAAGCCTGGCTAGTGGTTGGCCGGCTGACTGGTGGATGGAGCCCCGAGTCGTTCCTCAGGAGAAAGATCTGATGATTTGCTCCTGTGATGATTATAGCTCAGGAGACCCCGTGGGGCTGCTCTGCTCTGTAAGGTGTCCATGTATCAGATCAGGCCGGAGGGAAATGGGTATGTTTGTTTTATTTTTACCAAAGCCAAGGCCAGTGTGGCCACTAAAGGGTCTGGGCAGGTGAGAGGGCAGGGAGGAAGGGCTGAGCCAGCCACTGACTCACTGTCTTTCTTTTAAACCAAAACAAATCCCCCAGTCACACTGCCAGAACCCGATTCAAGGAGGATAGGGGGGATCTTTAGCCCGCATATCCCCTGTCCACATGGCCCCCAAACACTCTGACTTGTCACCCCAAGTTGATTCCACCTCATGATGACCCCGTGCTGTTACACCAATTTCCTTGTCTGTGATCAGTATGGAAGGAGACAGCCAGGCATTTCTCCCTTGTTACCGCTGGGTGGGTTTGCACCCTCAACATTCAGGTTAGTCGTCTAGCACAGACGGGGACCAGCAAAAGCACCTCAAATAAACACCCCTCCCACCAGGGAAGGGGCAGGGGGCAGGGTAGAGCTGCCCCTGCTGGTCTCCCAGACTTTTCATGGGAGTAGAAAGCCTCCTCTTTCCTCCGACCCGACCCTCGGGGGAGCAGCTGGTGGTTTCAAACTGCCGACCTTGCGGTTACCAGCCCACATCACAACCAGGACGCCAACAGGGCTCCATGCACACCACGCTCCTAGATTCTCTTTCCAGTCTGACTGTCACCCCCACCCCGGGGGTACCTTTTGTGGGGAGATTGAGGAGCCTCCGGGATTCCGACAGGTCTGAGGACCCTGGGGCTGCAGCCTCTGCCTCATCCCCCAGGAGGGCCCTGTCCTGGGCTGACCACTGGGCAGCTGCTCACCTTTCGAATTCTAAGAGGTCTGGTGACAAGATGCCTTGGGAGTCTGTGAGCTCCATGTGTTCCTGCTCTTCCTCCTCCTCTTCTCCCTCCTCCTCCTCCTCCTCGTCCTCCTCCAGGGCCTCCTCTTCCCCTTCCTCTCCCTTCTCAGCATCCTTCTTGAGTGCCTCAGCCGGGTACCAGGAGGAGTCGTTCTGCTGAGCCAGGAGGGAGTCCAGGCTGAGGAGGAAACAAAGGCACCGCCTGGGACCAAGCCCCCTGACCCACGTGGCTGCAAGC